GGAATAGGTTCCAAAAGAAAGTAAGAACATCAGAGACAGCCTCTGCTCCCACTGTTAGAAGTGCCCCAAGTGGAAAAAGCTATATAACTAACATATATGCAGTTAGCCTAGGTCAGTCCCATGCAGGTTCTTTGGTTGTTTATTCAGTCTCTGTGAGCCCCCATGAGCTCAGGTTAGTTGATTCTGTAGATTTTCTTTGATTCCCTGACCCCTCTGGATCCCACAATTTTTTCTCCCTACTCTTCTGAAGGATCCCTGGAGTTCTGCTTAATGTTTTGCTGTGGGTCTGCATCTGTTTCCATCAATTGCTGGATGAAGCCTCTCTGTGTCAGTTGGGATAGGCACCAAGCTGTGAATATAGCAGAGTATCATTATCTATCATTACTCTGACATTTTTTCCTCCAGTCATGTTTGGTTCTATCCTAGGAATCTGGGCCATCCAGTCTGTGAGTCTTGGTGCTCCAGACATGGGTTCTAGGGGTGGGATTACTCTCGTGGCAACAGTTTTAGGTGAGACCAGTCATTGGTTGGCCACTCCATCAATTTCTAGGCCACCCTTACCCCCAACATATCCCATAGGCAGGACAAACTGTAGTTCAAAGTTTATGTGGCTGGGTTGATGTCCCACTGCCTCCGCTTGAAGTCTTCCTGGTTACAGAAGATGACAAGTCCAGGCTACACATCTACTATTGCTAAGAGTCTTAGCTGGATTCACCCTTGTAGCTTCTTGGAAGATTCCCTTGCACAAGGTTTTTTGCTTGATCCTTAAATGCTCTCCCTTCCAGTAGTTTCTTTTGGTATTCTCCCCCATCTTTTCCCCTCTAAACCTAATTGCTCTTGTCCCCATGACCACCAGTCCTCAGTCCACTCATGGAATCTCTGACAGAGGGCTCATTTCCAAAATATTTAAAGAATTCAAGAAACTAGACATCAATAAGCCAAGTAATCCAGTTTTTAAAATGGGATACATGTCTAAACAGAATTCTCAATAGAGGAGTCTCCAATGGCCAAGAAACACCTACATAGATGTTCAACATCCTTAGCTATCAGGGAAATGTCAATCAAAAGGACTCTGAGATTCCAACCTACACCTGTCAGAATGGCCAAGATAAAAAAACACAAGTGACAGCTCATCCTAGAGAGGATGTGGAGCAAGGGGAACACTCCTCCACTGCTGGTGGAAGTGCAAACAGGTACAGCCACTTTGGAAATCAATATGGTGGTTTCTCAGAAGCCTGGGAATCAGTTTACCTCAAGACCCAGCTTATACTACTCTTGGGCATATACCCAAAGGATGCTCAATCATACCACAAGGACACTTGCTCAACTATATTGATAGCAGAATTATTTGTAATAATCCAGAACCTGGAAATAACCTATATTCCCTTCAGTCAAGGAATAGATAAAGCAAATGTGGTACATTTACACCATGAAGTACTACTCAACTATTAAAACAATCATGTCATGAAATTTGAAGTCAAATGGATAGAACTAGCCAACAGTATCTGACCCAGGAAGACAAACATGGTATGTACTCATTCATAAGTGGATATTATCTGTAAAATTAAAGTTAACTATGCTACAATCTGCAGACCAAGAGAGACTAGGTAACAAAGAGGGATCATGGGGGGGATGTCCAGACCTCCCTGGGAAGGAGAAATGGATCATTTTTCTTGCATGACTATGCTCCTGTCCTGCCCTTCAGCTTTTATTCTTTGATGTGAATGAACCCTGTTGTCAGTCAGTAGCTTGAAGAGCAGAGGAAGAGAGGTGATGTCTGACAGTTTTAATTACTTATGCGTACACATAAATTTCTGTGTGTGAGCATGTGTACATGAGCACAGTGCCTGCGGACGTTAGAAAAGGACATCAGATTTCCTGGAACTGGGGTTATAGATGGTTGGGATCCTCCATGTGGGTGCTGAGAATCAAACCTGGGATCTCTGGAGGAACCAGTGCTCTTAACTGCTGAGCCATCTCTCCAGCCCATTTGTCTTTTTGAAACTCTTATTATGTCTGTTTTATATTATTAGAAAGATGCTTCTTCAAAATAATGTATATGCATCACAATCTCATCAGTGTGAGAGAAGAGTAGAGGGGGAAACCTGAAAGCCAATTATTATCGAGATGTCAGGATCCATACAGGCAACGCCTACCTGCTTGATTCTAGGGAAAACATAAGTACTCTGACACAGCATTGGATAACTTAGAAGGAAGCCCAAACCATGCACCTATTAATTATCACCACTAGTGGAAGTACTGGTAATAATTGTTTTTTTTTAATTAAGTGGATTAATTATGGTAAGTACTTAGTCTTATATTAACTAGGACCCTAAATCGGCATGAGATGTATTGTATGGGCTATATTAAATAATCACGTCTGTTTCCTTAACAACAGCACACAGCCTGTGTATAGGTTTTGAATAATATCGAGGTTCCCAGGCATAAGGGTACACACATGCCTGTTATATATGCACTCAGAAGGCTGGGACCAAGAGACTGATGATTGCGCGTTGTGTATTTGAGGCCATCTGGCCAACACAGAGAGACCATGTCATGAATGAGAAAGGGGGAGGGGGAGTTAAAGATGGAGAATGGGAGGGGGAAGAAAGAGAGAGGAGATGAGAAAGGAGAAGACAAAAGAAAAGAGTGAAAAGGGAGGGAAGGAACCCTTTTGGCCTGACCTGCACCATATTTTATCAGTAAGCTCAGGGTAGTGGCCTATTTGATGAAACTCTTCTTTTGACTCCAATTTAAGATGGAAGAAAAAAAAAACAACTGTCCACTTGGTTTTGTGTCAGTTCTGTTTTGTGGTTGTGTATAGAGAACATAATAAAAACAAAAAAAATTAGATAAATTGAATGTCACAAGTTGAATCCATGTTAGGTTCCAGGAACTGAACCCAAAGACAGGCTTCTAAAGTGTTCTCCTGGGGACTTTTGCTCACATTAAAATGTCCCACTGGCAGCTGGAAGTTTGTCACTGGGTGAGGGTGTGCTCAGTGCTTTGTAATATATGTAAGTAGGTGCCAGAATAGCCTAAGATCTGGTGACTTTATATACAAATCACATTACCCTTGGTTTCCAGGTGTGTTCTGCTTCCTTCCTTTCCTTCCTTAGAAATCCTGATGTTTGTCCCATTACAGTGACCCAATCTTTCATTTGGAAAACGGGATAATCTGCAAAGAGAGGGCAGGCTTCACCTATAGCTCGATTTCTTGTTTGCTAATGCTACCAGGTGGAAGCCGGAAGGGCTGGCATAACTGTGCACAAGTGCAGTCCCCTGACATGTCAGGCTTTCCTGGGAACGCAACTTTGGAATCTGAGCGCCCTGTGTGAGCAGGACTCAGGCCAGATTGTAGCCGTTTTTACTGGCAAACAGTGGCTACATGCCAAAGCCTGCTCGACTCACATGGCCGCGTGTGGTGATTCATTTCCCTTCATTTCCCAGCAGACCCATTCAGCACGCGGATGGCTAGCCTCGTGCTGTACTGAGTTCCCCCTCTCAACTGTGGGAGCATTTTAGGGGCTCTTATCTTCAGAGTGGAGCTGTTTGCGGGCAGGAGGAGCTGCGGAGAAGCTGTGACAGGGTGATTTCATGGTCAGGCGTTCGTGGTGGCTTGGTGTCATTGTCTGCCACCCTTTCCTGGTTTCTCACAAACCACCTCTGACATTAGCCTGGCACTCTAGCTATGTTGACAGCGTTCACAGTCCAGAAAGATCTTCACAGTGGCTACCACAGCTGTCCAAACAGTTGGAACTCACTTCTGTGTTCAGGAAATTCCTGCTGTCTCCAAGGAGAGAAGAGGAACGCAATAGATCCTTGGGAGCTGGTGTTACAGGTTGCTGCCAGCTGTCCCATATGGGTGCTGGGAACAGAGCTCTACTGAGAGCTCTGGAAGAAACAGATTCTTGTAACCACTGAGCCATCTCTCCAGATCTCATCAGTACCCCTTTTCAGAGAAATATATATCATGAAGTTGGGACAACCACTCAGCTGGTGAAGAACCTGAGTTTGATCCCTGGATTCCATGTACAAGGATGGGCGTGGTGGCTGTGCTTGTTGTCCTAGTGCTCAGGAAGCAGGCACAAGAGGAATCCCTAGGCTCTTGGCAGGTCAGCATAGCATAAACAGCAAGACCACAGCTCCCAGTGAGAGACCCTGTATCAAAAAATAAAATGAAGAAGAATTAAAGAAGATACTTGATACTGACCATAGCTACCCCTCCTCACAAATTAATACATGAACTCCTACACATAAATGTCACACAAACACATACAAAAGAGATACATATTTCGTGGCTTGAAAACTATATACATAAAAGAGACAGATTATGTTTATTTTCCTGGGCCCCTGTTGATGCATGATTTTGGAACATTGCTCACTATTATATATGCAAATAACTGACTCTAAATGGTGGAGAATAGCCATGGCCTTTCACATCCAAATTGGCATGTGTGCTGGCTGGTTTTATGTCAACTCCACCCAAGCTACAGTGATTTGGGAATAGAGAACCTAATCAAGAATATGCCCCCGTAAGATTGACCTGTAGACAAGCCTATGGCATTTTCTTGATTAATGATGGATACAGGAGAGCACAACCTATTGTGAGAGGGGCTATCCCTGGTCTGATGGTCCTGAGTTCCACAAGAAACTAGGCTGAGCAAGACTTGAACAAGCAAGCCAGTAAGCTGCACTCCTCATAGCCTCTGCATCAGCACCACGCCTCACGGCCTCTGTATCATCAGTTCCTGCCTCCCAGTTCCTTCTCTGCTTGAATTCCTGTCCCGACTTCCCTCGGTGATACATTGTAATCTGCGAAGTGAAATAAAAACCTTTCCTTTCCTTTCCAAGCTGCTTTTGTTCATGGAGTTTCATCACAGCAATAGAAAATCTAATTCAGACAGTGCATTTACAATTAAATTCATCCTTTATGTACAGCGAATGGTGTGGTTAAAGTGTATATTATCTACTTATTATGTATGCATTTTATATTGTAGGATTTTTACATAGAGAAAGGAAAGAAGATATGAAGAAAGCAAGAGGTGCTGAAAACGTAAGCATTAGCTGTTTGATCCATATGAGTTAATAGTAAATCAAATTGATGAGGGGAAAAAGGCAATCTAATTCTAGATTTAATTGCCCATTCAGTTTAGCCAAATACCAGTTGACCCCATGTGTAGAGACACAGAAGACCATCTGCCAGGAGGTCTGTTAGGCTCTCTGCTTGCCAGGACTGTATTCACCAGAGGACAGAAAACCACACAAATCTAAATTAGGATGCTAGGGTCGGGTGTGTGAGAGCTTTTTACTGCTTGTGGCAAGAAATGAACAACACCCCTGCAAAAGGAATGGGTTAAACCAAATCTGAGAAAAAGGCACAGCCACACAAGACGGCCATTAAAAAATGACAGGGTGAAAAAAATGTATTCAGATAGAGAGCTGCCCAGCATACATTAGATGGAAAATGAGAGTCAAAAGGAATATAGCTGGTGGGATATTATTTGTATAGGATAACACACAATATGTGGATACACATAAATCCTGCCCCCTCCAAAACACACACCTTTAGAGGCATGCCTTGGGAAAGTTAGCTTTGTATGGTGTAGTTTAAGATGATGTAATTTTATTCCTATGTATGTTCTTAGGACCATTACTATTTGTGAACATGTAAGCAATATACAAGTAACTGAAAGCAAACCAACTACTCTGTCCTTAAGCTCTGAAGACAGAGATCTTTAGTTTTCCGAATTCAAAACTTCACTCTACGAGCTGATTAAAGCCTTCTCTTGCAAGAGTGTGAGCTGGCAGCCTAGGTCCCTTACCTGGAGTGCTAGCCACACAATTCACAACGCTCACCCACATGCGATTCCTCTAACAGACAGTGAACATTTGATAAACACCAAACATGTATCTTTGTTATATCTTGTTATGTATCATGAATAACTACTACAGATTTTTGATACTACAAGGACAGTATATCTAAAGTAAACATCAGAGAAGGAAAGCCTGGCTTTGCACTAGGCAATGGGAGAGAGGGGGTGAGTTGGATTCCTTTTTTTGTTTGTTTGTTTGTTTGTTGTTTTGAGACAGGATTTCTCTGTGTAGCTTTGGAGCTTGTCCTGGAACTCGATTTGAAGACCAGGCTGGCCTCGAACTCACAGAGATCTGCCTGCCTCTGCTTCCCAAGTGCTGGGATTAAAGGCTTGTGACACCACCACCCTTCCTGCATTTTCGTGATCAAACCTCAGCAGGGGAGCTTAGAAGCAGTGAGCTCTGCTTCCAACGACACTGGCTACACCCAGGCTCTCCTCTGTCAAAATCCAGTGTGGGAATGTGTGTATGTGGGGAGGAAGGCTGCACACATGGGTGCAGGTGACCCAAGAGGTCCAGACAAGAGTGTCATATCCCCTGGAGCTGGAGTTATGGAGTTACAGGTCGTGAGCCACCCTCTTGGGAGCTGGGAAACAAACTTGGGTCCTCTGCAAGTGCAGCGAGCACTCTTAACCATTGAACTATTTCTCTTCCATATTTTCATAGCGTATGGGCCACAGAAACCCTAAAATTGCTAGACCCAAGCTATCTAAAAGAGAAAGTGTGCCTGTGCTCTTCTTCTTGATATTGTATTTCATAAGAGAACATTGTGTTTCAGGAAGACAGTGATTAAAAATGCATTCAGTAAAGAAACGGAAGTGCAGGGAGACTGGCATCTCTTCAGTGTGCTACCTATGAGCCTTTTTATATCCTAACAAAAATGACCGTAAGTTCTTTGATGAGACAGGCTGCTCATCATTTGGTTCCTATAATTACAGTATTTATAAACCCAAGGAAACAAATCTAGAGCGCTATTAATCTGAAAAGTATATAAAGGAATAGTTGGGGGTAAACAAGTCAAATAAAATAAAATACATTTTCACTCCCAGGGAACCTCTGGGAGGGGGATGTTCTATGGATACTTTTTTTAGACCCCTTTGTTTTAATTTGAGTATCAGTATCTTATGGTAGGATGGAAGTATACTTTTATTTATTATAAGTTTCTAAGGTTCATTTTTATTTTAAAGTGTGTGTGTATGTGTGTGTGTGTGTGTGTGTGTGTGTGTGTGTGTATGAAGCCAGAAGAGGACACTGTGTGTGTAGTATCTAAAGAAGCCAGAAGAGGGCACTGGATCCCCAGAGCTGGAGCTACAGGTGGTTGTCAGCTGCCTGACACAGGTGCTGGGAGCAGAACCCGGGTCCTCTGCAAGAGCAGAGCATGCTCGGAACTGCTGAGCTGTACTGCAGCCCAGGGTTAGCACTGAACACTCAGCTACGTAGCTACTGCCTTACTCCCCTGCATTAAGTCTGACACTACTGGTCTAGGGATTGGATATGAACATTTTGCTGTGTCAGTTTGAATATGATGAGTCATTTTGCGGAAGCCAGTTTGACCCTTTTTGTAAAGTCAAACCTGAAGCAACTCACTGGAAGATGCTATCCAGTTATTTCTCGTGTAACCCTATCAGCTTTTTCATTGCTGCTGACAATTTAACTTTTAGGTGTGGGATGAGTTATATTTTTAGCAAAGACATTTTATAACAACAGCAATTTCTTGAAAATTAAAACAATAATTAGGATGAAGCTGTGACATTAACGGACTCTTACTAAACTGAACTTGTATATGCTGAGGATTAAACAGAATTAATTTTTATTATACGTATAATTTATCTTCACAGAAACAGAATATTTTCTTAACTAACATATAATTCATCTCTAGAAACACTTTCCCATAGTTCACTACTTAAAAAGAAAATACTGTTTTATTGAAGTGAATATAATTTGGGGGGAACCCTTCAGAAATGGAATTAATAAAAGTGCTGTTTAGTATGAAATTTAAAAAAATACAACTCATGAACCCACAGCCTGGGGAACCTACCGGGAAGCACAAAATCCCTGTCACTCACCCATAAAAGACGCTTAACATAAAGAGACTCCTGACAGTAGACCACATTCTCATGACTTTGAAGATTATCTGGTGAGACTCATGCAATATGTACAAACAATGCAGCTGTGATTTTGCAAAATCTGATGAGACTGCAAGGCAGGGGCAAAGCAAGGATGATTCTGACAAGAAGTAATTCTGTGTGTGCCTTTGTTCCTCCCTCACAGCCCTTGGGAAGCCAAACCTTCCGCCTCCTGCGTCTGAAGGAAGAACCCTGAAAGTACAGGTAGCATTCAACGTACCCGTTTTCTGTCAATTACCCATAGATCCTCAGCCCATACGAGGATCAGTCTTTCTTAGTGATGTGGATGCTTGTTGCCTTCCCTATTAATTTAAGAAGTAAATCTATGAGAGTTCAATTTTTATCCAAGATACAGCCAAGAGAGGGGAGTTGCTGCAGATTTGAGGCCATCTTAGGCTACATAGCAAGTACCAGGCCAGCCCTGTATCAAAACACAATAAAAATAAAAGGAAAAGGGAAAAAAATCAATGAAAACAGCCACTTAGGGGTAGAATGCTGCCACACCCAATTTTTCAACACCTTCAGCACACTGATTATTTCACATGGGTACAAAATATGTTCAAGTGGAAATGAAAATATTCCCAACAATTAGACTGCAGACTCCAGGTAAAAATTTGCTTCTTGCATTGAGCTCTCTGAACTTCCGGCAGTGGAGCAGTCACTGTGGCCTCTGTGGTGTTAGCCATGGGGTGGCTTTCAGAGCAGAGAGGCGAGGCAGAGGGTGGCCAGAAGGAGCTCTACTCTAAACACTGAGGCCTGCTGGCTCTTCTCACAAGTGAACGCACTGGTACACCCAGCCACAGATGTCAGTGACTTCTCGGTCCTCTCCTCTGGGTCTTTGTGGGAGCTAATGAGTGTGGGCTTCGTAGATACAACTGCACACAGCCTATCAACTGGTGTTTCAGCGTGTTCGTTACTAACCTATGGCTAAGCTGATGCTGTTTACCTTGCCTTAGTCATCTAAGACACGCTAAAGGGAGCTTCCGCTCAAGGATGATGATGAATAGATTTCGACTTTTGCGGTTTCCCTCTTAACTAGTTGCATTACAGCGCAGTGAACTTATTCCAAAGGTCTGATCATCTACTCTCTATCTCTAGATGGCATTAGGAACCCATCTTTCTTCTTTTTTGTTTTTCAGTTTAAATGTAGATAAGAAACAAGGTTGCTTCACAAGTCAGTTCCAGGTCCCTCTCCCTTTCCCTCCCCTCCTCCCATGCCCTCCCCCTAACCCCCAAATTATCCCCTCATTTCCCCAGGGAGGGTGAGGCCCTCCATGGGGGTGTCCATAGTCTGTCATTTCATATAGGGCAGGGCCTAGACCCTTCCCCAAGAGTTCAGGGTGAGAGTGCACCTCACATTGTTGGATGGGAGTCCAAAGTCCGTGTGTATATTCGGGATGGGTACTGATCTGCTGCCCAAGGCTCAATAGATTCCCTAGGCCTCCTCACTGACACTCACATTCAGGGGGTCTTGATCAGTCCAATGCTGGATTCCCAGGCTGATGCCTGGGATTCAAGAGTTAACCTTTGTCAGGTCAGCTGTTTCTGGGGGTTAAACAAGCCCAGTCTTAATCCCTTTGGTCATCAGTCCTCCCTCTCTGTTACTGGCTTTCTTGAGTTCAGCTCAGTACTTAGCCATGGGAGTCTGCCTCTTCTTCAATCAGCCACTAAATGAAGTTTCTGTTTCCCAGACTCTCTGGCCATGGGATTGTAGGCTGGCACTCCCCAGATCTATGTCTAAAATCCATATATGAGAGAGTACATGCCATGTTGCTCTTTTTGTGACTGGGTTACCTCACTCAGGATGGTTTCTTCTAGTGTCGTCCATTTGCCTGCGATTCTCAAGATTCCATTGTTTTTTTCTGCTGAATAGTACTCCATTGTGTAAATGTACCACATTTTCTCTATCCACTCTTCAGTTGAGGGACATCTAGGTTGCTTCCAAGTTCTGTCTATCACAAATAATGCTGCTGTGAACATAGTGGAACAGACATCTTTGTTGTATGAATGGGCATCTTTTGGGTATATGCCTAAGAGTGGAGTTGCTGGGTCTTGTAGGTTTATTCCCATTTTTCTGAGGAATCTCCATATTGATTTCCAAAGTGACTGAACCAGTTGGCACTCCCACCAGCAATGGAGGAGTGTCCCCTTTTCACCACATCCTCTCCAGCATAAATTGTCGTTGGTGTTTTTGATTTTAGCCATTCTGACAGGAGTGAGATGGTATCTCAGAGTTGTTTTGATTTGCATTTCCCGGATGGCTAAGGATGTTGAGCACTTTCTCAAGTGCCTCTCAGCCATTTTAGACACCTCTATTGAAAACTCTCTATTTAGTTCTGCAGCCCACTTTTTAATTGGGTCCTTTGATGTTTTGGAGACTTGCTTCTTGAGTTCTTTGTAAATTTTGGAGATCAACCCTCTGTCAGATGTGGGATTAGTGAATATCTTTTCCCATTCTGTGGGCTGCCTTTTTGTCTTGCTGACTGTGTCCTTTGCCTTACAGAAGCTTCTCAGTTTCAGGAGGTCCCATTTATTAATTGTTGATCTCACTGCCTGTGCTAGTGGTGTTATATTCAGGAAGCTGTCTCCTGTACCAATTCGTTCAAGGGTACTATCCACTTTCTCTTCTAAGAGGTTCAGTGTGGCTGGATTTATGTTGAGGTCTTTGATCCATTTGGACTTAAGTTTTGTGCATGGCGATAAACATGGATCGATCCGCATTCTTCTACATGCCAGCCTCCAGTTATGCCAGCACCATTTGTTGAAGATGCTTTCTTTATTCCATTGTATATTTTTAGCTTCTTTGTCAAAGATCAGATGTTCGTACGTGTGTGGGTTAATATCCGGGTTTTCAATTCCATTCCATTGGTCTACCTGTCTATTTTTGTGCCAATACCAAGCTGTTTTCAGGACTATAGCTCTATAATAGAGCTTGAGGTCAGGGATGGTGATGCCTCCGGACATTGCCTTGTTGAACAGGGTTGTTTTGGCTACCCTGGGTCTTTTGTTTTTCCATACAAAATTGATTATTGTTCTTTCAAGGTCTGTGAAGAATTGTGCTGGGATTTTAATGGGGATTGCATTAAATCTGTAGATTGCTTTTGGCAGGATTGCCATTTTTACTACATTGATCCTACCTATCCAAGAGCATGGGAGATCTTTCCATTTTCTGAGGGCTTCTTTAATTTCTTTTTTTAAAGATTCAAAGTTCTTGCGATTTCTATTGCGAGGCCACTTACAGCACCATAAAGCTCTCTGTGTGGGAGAATACGCATGGACTTGTCCAGCTGTGCCGTACAGTGGCCTGGCTTTTCTCCAGAGCTGTAAGAGCTCTGGTCGTTTCCTGACGGATGACGGTGTGCATCAACGAAGATCTGCAGTCCCAGATGTGCAACTTCTTTGAACTGTCATTCATTTTTATGAGCCTTATGCTTGCATAGACATCTGTGCATATGTGTGCCTTGTACCTGTAGAAGCCGGATGTGGGCAATGGATCCCTGGAACTGGGGTTACAGATGGTTGTAAGCCACTAGGTGTGGGTGCACTCTCTCTCTCTCTCTCTCTCTCTCTCTCTCTCTCTCTCTCTCTCTCTCTCTCTCTGTGTGTGTGTGTGTGTGTGTGTGTGTGTGTGTGTGTGTGTGTGTTTCCATCCTTTGCTGGCCTGGAATTCACTACATAGACCAGACCGGTCTTAAATCTGTGGCAGTCTTCCTGCCTCTGCCACCTGAGTGCTTGAATTACAGATGTGCTCGACCTTTCCTAACTCCCCTGCTACCCTGACAGCCACTTATCACAGTGTTTCTCCTATCAAGTGGCCATTGTCGTGGCCACATATTCAGGGTCCAGCTACAGGGAAGCCAACAAAATATGTATATGGTTGCTGGCATCATTGTGTACATTTATTATAGCCGTCCCTTTGTAGGAATGGATCTTGAAGTCCTTCCCCAATTGAGGCTCCAACTGTGTCGAGCATGGGAGAGATGTGAAAGGCCTTGAACCACAGGCACCAGCTCCTGCCTCCTGAGAGTGAGCTGGTGACACATGACGTTCAGCACAGAGGAGTTCAACAATCTGTGGCAACACACCAGCATGTTATTAATGTATTGAGGAAGAGACAAGATAATCTAATCTAGATGCTGAGTCCTTCCTCTGGGCAAGGATGTCACAGTGCCTTGCTTAATGAAATATAATTTTCTAATAATGCTCAAAATCCATTTCCTTTTTCCTTTATCTGTTCCCACATATAGTTCTGGGGAAAATCCTGTATTAGTGTAAAATCCATAATGGTGTTGGCATTAGTTATTGACAAAATAATTCATAATACTAAAGTGTCATTTTAATTTTAAAAATGAAATGAATATGGTGTTTCCTTAAAACCAACTGAAACCAAAAAGCCAGCTACTATTTGATCCAAAAGTACCACTCCTAGGTATGTACCTGAGGAAAAAGGTCAGCATGCAATCAACATGTCTATACGCCCATAAATTTTAGGAAATCACTCATAATTGTCAAGTCATGAAATAAGCCTAGATACCAAATTTTCAGTATGGGCTGAATAAATGAAGAATATATATATATATATATACATATATATATATATATATAGAGAGAGAGAGAGAGAGATTTTATATTTTACTCACCTTTAAACAGAATGACGTTGTGTCTTTGGCAAAGAAATAGATAAAGCTAGAGAACATCATCTTAAGGAAGTACAACCACGCTCACACACTAAAGTATCTCTTTTCTAAAATCTGTGTATACAGAAAGCTAAGAAAACACAAACTGAATGTATAAAATTTTATCTTTAAAAACTAGGTAGACATTTAGGGTAGTGCCATTTTTAGAAAATGATTTTAAACAATTCAGTTACATTTTCAATAAAATTCCTAATGATATTTTCAGAATAAATTTCAGTATAAGGTATTAGTATCCATAAATCATATGGTTTTTTCCTTTTTAAAGTTAGTATACAATCTTAAATATTTTAAAATAAAGAATGTCTCTGAAGTGATCTTGTAGGTTCTCAAAACAAAAATTATGTAAAAATGCAATTATCAATAGAGATACTTTCCTGATGTGGAGACAAAGAGAATAATTTTTATTAAAACTAAACATAAAATGCCTTGAATTATATATATACATATATATATATTATTATATGCTTAAACATGCCTAACTCATGGACGTCAAACCCAGAAAAATGCACTGATAATTAAATTTCTTAATGTTTGATGTTTCCAACCAGATAACATTACACATAACTTTCAAGTTTATCATGATGCATGTATTTTAAGGTAGGAGGAAGGGCTACATCTTCATAAAGAGTTTTCTACTTTGGTTTATGATTTTGGAGTAATGACATGTGTGTATGTGGACTTCACTGTTCTTGTGGCTTTAAGTGATGCACAGATTAGCAGAGGAAGCCTGCTTTCCCTGAAGCTCTGTTCTAAACTTTAAGCATCACCTCAACATACATATCTTCCTCTCCCCGGGCTTTCCTTTTGAACACCCTTCTAATTATCGTGCACACTATTCATTTTTGTTTTATGCATAATCTTATTATTTTTCAAGAATGTGGGCTTAATTAAGAGCACAGGTTTATGTTCCAACTGTTTATAACCACATCCTCTCCCCCCTAAAAGAGAACAAAGCATATACTTACTTGATCGCCAGTAAATTCAATAACACATCCATTCTTCAAATAAAAATACTTACTGAACACTTCTATGTTCTGGAAACTGTGGGACTCCATTAAATGGTTCTTAAGCACTAAAGACAGAGAGAAAAGAAGGTCTTGCATGTTTAGTCTGGGTCCTTTTCTCTTGCTGTGGTAAAATACCTTGACCAAAGGCAACTTAAGGAAGAGTTTACTTCTGCTTTTGGTTTGGTTTCAGAGGCAGAGACAGTTGGGAAACATGGCAGCAGAGCACTGGGAGACGGCGTCTTTAACCCCCCCCCCCCCACAGGAAGCAGAGTGAGACAGCTGGAATGGAGGGAGACTATGGACCCACAAGGCCAACTCGCAGGGATGTACTTCCTGTAGCAAAGGTGAGCCAAGTGCCCCAAGCAGCACCACCACCCTCTGAGGACCAAGTGTTTAGATACCAGATACCGGAGCCTACGGGACACATTCACCTTTCAAACCACAACCATCTTGCAACTGAGGAAAGATGTTAAGAAAGTGATCTCAGCTCAGATCAGCGCGGATTTATAAGGCTAGTATAAGAACACTCGCCGCAGAGCAGCCCCCCCCGCCCCAGCTGCCAGGGGACTCTGTTTAACCGCTGTCGGCAAACCTATAAGCACAACAGATTTTCTCTACCATCCATCCAAGAGGACAAGAAGTGACTCAAAAATTCCTTAACCCCTCTTTGGCACCAAGGTTGTCTCTGGCCCACGTGCTCCACCGAATCTTCAGGAGTCCTCCCGGTAGAAAGATGGCAGAAGGCCAGGACTGTGTCAGGCTGGGATACCCTCTATGTTTCCAAGAGGGGGCATGCCACATGTCATGCAGACATCAAAGGCTTGTGCAGTCTAGCAAGGTCTTTCAAGACATCTCTTGCATTTTGTGTAATGAGAACAACAAAAAAAAAAACCAGGAATTTGGTTTTAAAGCGAAGTGGTGTTGTCATCGTTGCCTCTTAAAAAGAACTACTTTTGGGATGGAGACATGGCTTAGTGGTTAAGGACACTGTCACTCTTTTGAAAGACCTGACTGTGAGTCCCAGCACCCACATGGCAGCTCACAACTGTCTATAATGCCAGTTCCAGAAGATCTGACGCCCTCTTCTGGCATTGTTGGGCACCAGGCATGCACATGGAACACAAATGCACATTTAGGTAAACGCTCATATACATAAAAATAATAAGTAAATTTATTTTAAGATTAATTAATTTAGTATGAGAGGTATATGTGTGGATGGGGGAGGGTGCACTGTATCCCTCAGTGAATGTTTCAAGTATCTTCTACCCACATTCCCATTTAAGTCTTCCTATGATTCCATGATGTTCCTCTAATGTCTTCCTTATTCACTGAGGAGGAAACGGAAGATAGAGCAAGGCAGTTCAACAGTTAAGAACTCAGTGACTGCAAGTGAAACACCTAGTTTCACAGCCAGGAAAATTTGAGTCCAAAATCCAAACTCCTAAGAAGGCACCAAGCCAGGTTTCTAAAAGTCTCTTTCAGTACCATGTACACTGAGCAGAGTGAAAATTAAAGTTTTTAAAAGTCTGCTTCAAAATACATAAGTGAGTTGCTGCCTTCTGAAAACCACCTAAGCGATGGTGAGGATGGTAACTGTTGACTACAGTAAACAAACCAAGCTATTTCAACCTGCAAGGCGGGATGACACAGGGGGATAAGTCCATGACATTCCAGTGGCAGGTCAATAAAGGGAAAGTCTAACTTTCTGTTGAGAGCAGGACGTAGAAAAACAGATTCAAATGAAAATATTGAGGCATAGGATAATGCACATAACTAATATACCGTTAGAATCTGTTGACAGAGAAGTATGAGACTGTGAGGGGCAGGGCGAGCTTGTGAAGTGAGGAGAGAAGGCAGGGAGGAGGGAGGGGAGGAAGCAGGAAGAGGAGAGAGATATGAAGGAAGGTGGAGAGGAGTAGAAGGCTCTGGGCCCTATTCCTTCTCTAGTTACTAGACTGAATGCCAGTGTGGCAATGGGACAATGGATAGATTAAAATTTAAAAAGAATGCCTGAATGAATGAACAAATGAATGAATGAGAGAGAGAACAGAGGGAGGAAAGAAGAAAAGTTAACCATAACAAGCAACTCACACCTGGGAATGCAAAGAGTTTTTCCCATCACATTTAGAAGGCACCTTGCATTTTTCCTGTGACAACTTCTCCCTTTCAAAAGACACCCCCCCAGTTTTGTAGCTTTCAAGAGCAAGGAGGAAGGAGTCGAGTGCCCCAAACTCACGTGGAATTTATTTCACCAAATCAGGCCATTAACATGGAGGGAAGGGCGGTGAATGGAAAATTCAGCTTGTTAGCCAAGAAATAAACCCTTGCAATTTCAGATTTCGTTTTCATTCTGAAAACTCCTCTCTTCCTGGGACGTTCTTTCTTTAGCAAGAGTGCTAGGCTATTTCTATTCATCTGCTGTTTGGTGACTGAGGGAAGACGCCCACACTCTAGCGACTGAGCGTGGCTTCTGAGTAGACTCACTGGTACTCTGCATGGTGTGGTAACTTCACTGACCCTCCAACAGTAACAGTGCTTATATCAAAAGACAACAGTGAATTAAGGGAAAATTCATGAAGTATCAACTCAGACTCTATCTTCTCCCATATTCTTTCTCTTTCAGTTACAAAATAACTGGGTTGCTAATATTGTCTCTATGGCTTCCTCCAGCTTTATGTTTATGTTCTCTGGAAGCGAGTTCCTTTTGTCGGAAATGCTCTTTTTATATTCAAGTTGCTTTCCTGGTTTCATTTCCTGTACATGTCTCAAGAATCATCAGAGAATGGAGACCATGCAGGAAGGCAGCAGAGGAAGTAGGCGGCCGCCCGGTGTGGGTTCCTGTGTGTGGCCGACTACAGCTGCTGTGGTTTGCATGACGAAAAGCTGCAGGCAACCCCTAGAACAGCAACTGCAGAAGTCACAGGGGCACACTCAGAGCGGGCATGTTTCAGGAACGCTGGCTGGGAAGGGTGGGGATGCAGTAGGGAAGTTTGTGGGATGTAGAAACGAAGGAGGAAAAGAAACACCAAGGGAAGGAGAGAGAACGAGCAAGGGACGGAGGGAAGAAAGAGGGGAAGGAAGAGATGAGGGAAGAAAGGATGAAAGGAAAAAGAAAGGAGGGAGGGAAGGAGAGAGGGAGGGCTGAAGAGTGTAAGCGTTTCGTCGGGATGGGTCAGGACAGGATGGAACAGGAGTGGGTCAGGTATTCTGGCACTCGGGAGTCACAGAATACCCAGTGTTACACAGCTCAGGTGGAAAGGTATCCTGGAGCTCGGGAGCCAAGGATACTGAGTGTTACACAGCTCAGGTAGAAAGGTATCCTGGAGCTCGGGAGCCAAGGACCACCACGGGTTGCAGTAAGCTTGGCAGCTTACAGCCTTGCCTCAGAGAAAGGCTTCTCCGGTGTATCAGCTCCGCTCCGGCAGGACAGGGTCTTCCAGCTGGGGATGTTCGCCTAGTGTAGCAGTTTTGCTCCGCAGGAGGTTTCTCGGGCGAAGTTGCTACAGTTCAGCTCTGCTCCTGGAGAGCCGAGCGGAGAGCAGGGAGCCGGGCGGGAGCAGAGTGTAACAACTCCGCTCTGCCAAGGAAGGTTTCCCGGGCAAGTGTTACAGCGCTGCTCGCTCTGCTCTGCTCTGCTCTGCCCAGGGTCGCCTCTGCTCGCTCTGCTCTGCTCTGCCCAGGGTCGCCTTTGCTCTGTCGCAGCCGCAAAAGAAGATCTTCACCCGAAGCTCATCCAAAGGTGTTTATTGGAAGACAGCTGGACCAGCCAAGCTGAACATACACAGGGTTTATATAGGGGTTCCTGGGGTTGGGGAAGTTTTTCCAGGGTAGGGATTGGTCCGATTTCAGTGCTGAGCTCAGATTGGCTAGAGCTCTGCTCCGGGATTGGTTACTTTTTTACACAGGATTAGGGTCAGATTTGGCTCTGGTTTCAGGGCCAAAGTGTGTTTCTTTCTCTGGTCCTTTTTGGCTCCAATTTTAGGGCCAGGGTACATTTCTTTCACTGACTCTGATTCCAGGGACAAAGTGTGTTCCTTTGGCACTGGTTTTAGGGTCAGGGTACATTTCTTTGGTTGTGGTTGCAGGGCCAAAGTGTGTTTCTTTGGTTCTGCTCAGGGTGTGTTTCTTTGACTGGTCCCTTTTCCCTACAAAGAGTATACGAGTGTACAAGAACATTGTGCAGTGTTGCCAAAACATAGAGCAGAAACACTTCAGTCCATTTTGCATGTAGTCATCTGATAGGCTGACCACGTCAGGGCACCCTCAGACAAGGGACTCCAATGGCTGTTCATTTCACATGTTGGTTCCCAGTAGTGTGAGCCAGACACACAGCTCAGGTGAAGATAATCGTAAGCAGGGAGATGATTCAAGGGCACTTGCTACCAAACTTGACCATCTGAGTTGGGTGACGGAACCTACAAGTTTTACACAAAATGGGAATGTTGATTTTTATATACACATACAGAGTCAGAGGGCAGACACACACACACACACAGAGAGAGAGAGAGAGAGAGAGAGAGAGAAGAGAGAGAGAGAGAGAGAGAGAGAGAGAGAGAGAGAGAGAGAGAGAGAGAGAGAGAGAGAGAGAGAGAGAGAGAGAGAGAACATGGCATGCAGAGGTCACAGGTATGGGGCTGGTACTTTTTATTCCAGTCTTAATGCCATGAACAATTAGGTTGTAAATGGATTCTAAAAAAATAATAATTGCATAAATCAAAGTTCTATTTACTTTCTTATATTAGTATTGATTCTATATGTCCTGCTCAAATTTATATTCCACTGCTTTCATTGACGACCCCCTGCTGCCTCTCACTCTCTGAGCTAGAAAGGAGTGGGGTATGAGCTTCCCAAGGAGGACCCTGGGATTCCATGGGGAAGAAGACTTTTGAAAAGCAAGAAAGTTCAAACTTTGGGAGAACTTAAGCCTGGGGAAATCTTGTAATTCTTGGCACTATATTTTCTTAGATTTTTAAAAACATGTATGGGTGTCTTGACTACTTGTATTTGTGTACACTGTGTGTCTCTGTGTCAGAAGAAGCCAGCATAGGGTGTGGAATGCCCTGGAATGAGAGTTACCGATGGCTGTGAGAGACCATGTGGGCTCTGAGAACCCAGCCTGAGTTCTCTGCAAGAGCAGCACGCTCTCTTAATTGCTGAGACATCTTTCCAGCTCCATTCTGTACTAACTGTTCTTTGCACATGTGTGTGTGTGCATGGTGTGCATGCATGTGTGGCATGTATACATATGGTTGTGTGTGTTTGTGTTTCCATGCATGTAGATCAAGGTGTGTGTGCACATGCCTATTGAAGTCAGAGGTGGACACTGGATATCTTCCTCCATTGCACTCTACCTTATGTATTGAGGCAGAGACTCTTTCTGAACTTGGAGTTCTCAGATTAAGAAGTCTAGCCTATCACTTCGTTCCCAGGGAACACTTATCTCTGCCTCCTGCATGCTGGAATTACGGGCAGGCTGCCATACCCACCTGACTTCACTTGCTGGGGATTGAAATTCTTT